TCCAGACTTTCCTCTTCCACCTAGAGTCTTTGGCTGTGTATGTTTTATTCATGTAAAGGATCCAAAGAAGACCAAGTTGGATCCTAGGGCTACGAAAGGAATCTTTCTAGGGTACTCTCCTACACAAAAGGGTTACAAGTGTTATGATCTAGTTACCAAGAAGAAATATGTCACAAAGGATGTGGTATTTTTTGAGTCTCAGTCCTATTATCATTCTTCCCAGAATCCTCTTCAGGGGGAGACTAGTGGGATGGAAGAGGATTCTTCTTCTCCCTCTTTTTTTGTGCCTCTTTCAGACTTGGGCCTTCCATCTTCTCCTAATCCTCCTAGTTGTAGCACCCCAGGTGAATCTAGTGAGGCTCCCATTGAACTTGTTACCACTCTTGATGCTGCGGATGTAACTGAGGGCACTAATAGGCAACAAAAAGATATGAGAATTACCTACAACAAAAGAAAAAATACCCTCCAACTCATGGCAGCAACCAATCAGACTCGGATCAATCTGTCTCAACAACTCCAGGTAATCTTATCACTCATACTTCTGATTTGGATCTCCCTATTGCTCTTCGTAAGCCTACCCGTTCTTGTACTATCYGACACCCCATTGYTGAATATGTTTCTTATTCACGTTTATCTCCTCATTATTATTCCTTTGTGTTTGCTCTCTCTTCCGTGCATGTCCCTACTAGGTATTTAGAGGCAGTGTCTGACCCAAGATGGAAAGAGGCTATGAATGAAGAAATGAAAACCTTAATTACCAGGACTTGGGAATTAGTGGATCTACCAGAAGGGAAGAGCACTGTGGGATGCAAGTGGGTGTTCACTATGAAGCATAGGGAGGATGGGTCCATTGAAAGATACAAGGCCAGACTAGTGGCGAAGGGGTTTACTCAAAAGGAAGGGATTGACTACAAAGAGACTTTTGCTCCAATTGCAAAGCTCAAAACAATCCGGGTTCTATTGTCATTAGCTGCAAACTTCTCATGGGAGCTATATCAATTGGACATGAAGAACACTTTCCTAAATGGCAATATTCATGAAGAGGTATTCATGAATCCTCCACCAGGTTATGGTTTTGATGGGAAAGTGTGTAGACTGAGGAAAGCATTATATGGTCTTAAGCAATCCCCTTGAGCTTGGTTTGAGAAGCTCTGTGGGAACATGAAGAAAGTGGGATACACTCAAAGTGGTGCAGATCTGTTATGGACGCATTCCTCGTTAAGACGTACCATCGCTGCCGACAGCAACAGGAACCTGACCCACCGCCAGATTAGATTAGATCATCTTGCTTGTTTTTATCTTATTCTATTGCTCTTATCTTATCTTGTTAGTAAGTTATCAGATTAGGATTAGTTTATCTTATTATCAGATTAGGATTAGTTTATCTTGTTATCAGATTAGGATTAG